CCAACAAGATGTATTTGCAAGATTGTCAAGAGGGGTAGGCAAGGGGGGAGGGGGTCTCGTCACGAAATCACGAAGATCATTTTTAGATTTCACGAGTCACGAAAAAGAAAATTTCATTTTCACGAATTCTAGAAACACAGAAGCGTAACAAAGTCTGAAACCATTTAACGATTTTCTAGACAGCAGAAATCGTTGTTAACACAAACACTTTTTACTGACTTTAACATTAGAACTTTTAAAAAGACTATGGAAACCATTGCGAGGCATTACGACACATTACGAGTGTCTTGCGATGGTTCACGACGTCTGCGAAGAGGTACGAAGGCAGGCAGGCAGGCAGGCAGGCAATACTTTGTTTAAAATTAACAAAAAGGAACACGCTATCCCCATCAACTCTGGACTGATTTCCATGAGGGGCGTGTTAAATATTAAAACAACATATAAGGTATAAGACAACAACGTTTACGATGAAACCTCGAGAAAGACAACTGCGGGAAACAAATTTTTCACTTTTTAAACCTTAATATTAAAATTGGGCCGAGTTTTAAACGTAAACATTCACAAGTTAGGGTAAAATATTGATGAATTAAAGACCCTAGCTAGCCCTTTTAGCTCTTCACGATTCAAGCGGCACGCATATTAATCACGATTCACGGAATGGTATATCTTCAAATCACGAATCACGAAGTACATATAATCGCTAATCACGAGTCACGAAAATACCCTTGCTCTGTCAAGTGTCATGCAACTAGTTGTAACAATGCTGTTATTTTATCTAGCAGCTACAAGGTTGTCACTCACAACTTGTTGACAAATTGTTGAATTGCATCACGATAACAAGTTGTCGGAACAACTTGCAACAAGTCTGTTCAGATCAATAACCTCGTAGTAAATTGTCAACAACCCGTATTGTAGACAATTCGTCAACATACTGTGGGCGTGATCTGGGACTCACCCAGGAAAGGGATCGAGTGTCCACCACTGTTCTAATTAAAGCTAATTCTACTTCGTCATCAACTCGGTCGTTCCGGAGTTGTACGAGAGAGTGCAGCGCATGCGCAAAACCACTTGTGCAGTTTGCGCGGAAAAACCAGCCTCGTGTTTTTTCATCCAGAGGATTTTTGGAAGATTTTTACTATTTCTAACAGTTGGTAATGTATCTTCAAAATAAATATCTATTTCTGTTAAGCTAAGTATCACACTGTTTCAGCTAAGTATCACAATTTTGTCTTGTATTTTGCATGGTTTGATTATTTTTATGCTGTTTCTTTAGGCAACATGACGGCTCATTCGGATGACCCGAATGACCTTGAAAGTCGTCTTGATTATGACGAGTCTGACGACTTAGATATGCTCGAACAAGCAAACAAAGACCCTGAGCATGATAGGGCAGATTTAAACAGCGTTATTGTCCATTTTAGTGGCCGAAGTTAACGCCAAGGCGAAAAACGAGCTAACACCGTAGTGTCACGGCTTCGGCCAGCTCGAGCAAACGTCAGAAATATGACTCGAATGATACACAACCTCAAGTAGGCTTTATACAAGATATAGCTGCAGAGACAGCAACTACAAATGCTTCAGAGGAAGCAACTAACAATGCTTCAGAGGAAGCAACAAATTCGGTCTCAGAGTCAGACAATGAGCAACACACAAGTGAGCAAAATGACGACAGGTTAAGTGTACATGGGGATGAGCATGACCCTGATCTTGCCGGGTCAATGAGTGAGGATGAAGACAATACCAGTCTTCTGACAAAAATAGGTGAATCACTCTGTCCCACTGAGGATCATGGGCCACAGGTTATTGAAAAACTTTCACAACTAGTGAATACTAAGTTTGTGATGGATCTTGACCTTGAAAAAAGGAAACAACTTTCTGAAAAGTACAAAACACCCGAAAATTGTGAGGCACTTTATGCGCCACGTGTTAACCCGGAGATATGGGGAAAATTAAACCCAACAACTAAGCAGCGAGACATAAAGATGTCAACCTTACAAGACCTCTTACTTAGAGTGTCAAATGCTGTAATTATCTCATTGAACACACTTTTAGACTGTCGAGAGAAACGATCAATTCCTGATTACAAATCTGTTATGTCTAACTTGATCGACTGCATTGCTCTTATTGGGCATGTTCATAAAGAACTTTCGTTCAAACGAAGAGACCAAGATCAGACCAAGTCTGACAAATGAATTCAAACCAGCATGCTCTCGTAACAATAAAATAGAGAAATCACTTTTTGTCGATGACCTCTCTAAAGTCTTACAGGACTTAAGAGCAACAAGCAAGGTTGTGAATAACTTACCACATATGCCTACCAGTGGAAAGGCAAGATCATCAGCAAATTATAATTCAGCAAGCACATCACGCCCTCATTTTTACCGCATCAGGGGAGGAGCCATTACCCTCCCCAGCCCAATCGAGCATACAATTATTAAATAATGTTATTCAGGAGGGCCATCATGCTCCTACAGAATTTATTTCACCAATATTCACTGTTCCTAAGAAGGATGGTGGTATACGTCTTATTTTGAACTTAAAAAAGGAATGCATTGCTAATGTAGTACAAACAGTAAAAGTGTTTGACAATGTTGGGCTTGTACCCCATCCAGACAAGTCAACATTCATACCAGTACAGGAGATTGTTTTGCTAGGTTTTCTCATTAACTCAATCTATATGACAATAAGATTGACACCTGAGAAAATAAAACACATAAAAGAACTGGTCAAACAGACTATAGACTCAATACGTCATATAAAAATGCGTTTGGTTGCTAAACTTATTGGCTGCCTTATTGCCAGCCTCCCTGCGATAATGTATGGGGCACTTTATTACAAGTATTTAGAAAAAGGAAAAAATTGCTGCACTTAAATCATGTAAAGGAAATTTTGATGCCTTTATATCTCTATCGCAAATGCTAAGTATGAACTTGACTGGTGGTTAAATCATATTGATACCAGTTTCAATCCCATAAGATACCCACCTGTGGATGTTGTTTTATATTCAGATGCATCATTGAAAGGGTGGGTGCTGTTAAGGGAGAAATATCAACAGGGGGTAGATGGACAGCTGTAGAGGCAAAATGCCATATTCATGTCCTGGAATTACACGCTGTTCTGTTGGCGTTGAAATGTTTTAAGGTTTCTATTACTACCAAACACGTACAAATCCTGGTTGATAACACCACTGCAGTAGCTCTCATTAACCATATGGGCAGTGTACACAGTGACAGCTGTCATTTAATGGCCAGAAAAATTTGGGAATTTTGTTTTCGTAATGATATATGGCTCACAGCTGCCCATCTACCAGGAGCCACTAATGTTGATGCTGACCATGCATCTCGAAATTTTATCAGTGTTGATACTGAGTGGATGCTCAATTCCACATGTCTTGTCGAAGCATTAGAGACTTCCATCAGCCCCCGATCAAATTCATCCACTTCGTGCAGAAAGATGGAACTTCTTATTTGTCTCTTATCGGGGAGAAACTTAAAGCCCAAGGATTGTCCCAAAGCTCCATAAAAATTATATTGGCATCCTGGAGAGCAGGTACTCATAGTCGGTATCAATCTCAAATTATCAAGTGGCAAGAATTTTGCGCGCAACATAAGTGTGATATGATATCGCCGCCTGTTACATTTGCGGTGGATTTTTTGGCGCAGTTATCTGACTCTGGTATGTCTTATAGTTCTGTTAACACTGCACGAAGTGCCTTGTCCAGTCTTCTACAGTTGCATGATGTAAATATGCCATTTGGGCATTTACCAGTTGTTAAATGTTTCATGAAAGGGTTGTATGAGCTGAAACCGAGGGTTGTATGAGCTGATGTTTTCCCCCGATACCAGACAATTTGGGATGTAAGCGTTTGTACTTAATCACCTTCGCAAGCAGCCACCTATACTGGAGCTTAGTCTAAAAGATCTCACTCTACATTTGACCTTTCTACTATGTCTATTGTGACAACGTTCCCAGACTATAAACTGCCTGTCTCTTGAACATATGCAACTAACTGATGGAAAATGTGTGTTCATTGTTGCGAACAAGATCAAACAATCACGAGTGGGAAAACATATTAAACCACTTGAATTTCTTGGATACCCACAAGACCAAACTGTATGTGTTTTAACACATATTTGAGAATACATCAGACGAACAGCTGCCCTTCGGAAAAGTCAGCAGTTATTAATAAGCTATGTAAAACCTCATGGTCCGGTATCAAAAGACACAATCTCTCGTTGGTGTAAAACAGTGCTTGGTTCATCTGGCATTGACATATCAAAATTCAAGGGACATAGTACCAGAGCGGCTTCATCATCCCATCTTGCAGGATGTAATAATAATATCCAAGATATTTTGTCCTCTGCTGGTTGGTCGAATGAAAAGACGTTTCAACGTTTCTATAACAATTTAAGCCCACGGAATCAAGTTTTAATTTCGGAAAGGCTTTTTGGATTCAACATGTTAACTCTATTTAACGTTCATACAATCTTTAAAGTTCCTTGTTCATATTACATTGTGCATTTATTATGTGACAAATATAATAAAACATTGTTGTGTTTTTTTTTTGCTGGTGCATTTAATATTGCACTTACAGTGGGTATCACTGTTTCTCATCGCTACCCACGCTACAATTACTCAATGACGTCTCTGAAATCTCGTACAACTCCGGAACGACCGAGTTGATGACGAAGTAAAATTTGAAATTAAACGAGACTTACTTGTAAGTTGAAGTTTGATTGGAATTCTGCGAGTCATCAACAGGGAGTGAAGGAGTTGTACTCCCGCCCATTTTGATAACAAATAATAAACCCACCCAAATTACAAAATTGTCATTGGGTAATTGTGCTTTTAAGACTGGTTTTGCGCATGCGCTGCACTCTCTAGTACAACTCCTTCACTCCCTGTTGATGACTCGCAGAATTCCAATCAAACTTCAACTTACAGGTAAGTCTCGTTTAATTTCAAATTATATCGACTATATACATCATACACATTGTTTAATATCCATTGCATAGCCTTGAATATATAGTATCTGCTATTTATAGTAATTTTGCAAAAGCAATGCCTCAAAATTGAGACAGGCCGTTCTTGAATTAACAGTTTCGATAACAAAAGTTTTATAAATCCGTTACAACCAGTCAGTTCCAAACCATAATTGTGTCGTGGCATCCGCAGACGATGAACAACGGTGGGCTGGATTGACACAATTATAGAGACCAAAATTATCTTCTCCGATACCTCCACACTTTTCTGCACCAGTTGATTGAAAGTCACAGCCATCTGTTCTAGAGGAATCGGCGTGAAATGTGTAGACGTTTTGGTATAATATCATTGTACAGAAGCCGCAGTCATCGCCTCGAATATTTACGTAGTCAACGAAAGAGCAAACGACGGTACTGCTCGTTTGTTGATCTACGAAATTCAAGACATCAACGTGTTCATTTCTTGCCTCAAGATAATCCGTGTAGTTTAGGCCATCGGTATCATACTTGCATGTCACACGAAATTTGCTGGAATCGTTTTGAACAGATTGCATTCTGGGTTTCGAAAGACGATATTCATCCCAGCGAGGCGTGTCTTCGTTTACAGGCCAATTTTTAGAATAGCTTTTATCAAAATTAACCTTATTTTGAAGTTGATATGAACTAACGAGTGTCCATACCTTGTTTGAACTTGAATCAAAATCGCAAAACACTTCATAGGGTTTCATGTTATCATCCAACACCTGATAATTTCCAGGGACTCGAGAACCGTTACTGTAAGCAAGACAAGATTTTATTGCATGTTGACACAGGCTTCCTGTATAACCTGTTAAACACTGGCATTTGTAACGAGGTGTTGTATGATCTGTAGGTGTGAGGGCAACATAGCTTCCGTTATTTTGACACAGATGATCATGAAATTGACAGACAGATACTCGATTACAACCAGAAGCATTCATCTTCTTGATCTGACAAAGAAAATAACTAGTTAGTGATGCTCTCCCGAGTGGCTCAGTACCGGACAAGCTGAAACATTCTCTGACCGAGTTGAGATCAGCGCCAACATGCAGTTAGCCCATGCAGTTAAAGGAATATTTAACAGTTATTCTACGAACTCGAGTCGAATATGAGCTGATAGCCGATGAGGCGCGTTTATTATATACACAATGTCTGAATTCACAGACTTTGCTTTTCGGATATTTTCAATATTTTTCTATTTTGTTTATGTTTTTATCTTCGCTTATTCGGCCGATTATTTCTTCAAAAATATATATTTTTAACCATTTTAAATTTTAAAAATTCATTTGCTAACCTGTAAACAATTTGTGCGAGTTTTTCATTGTGTTTTTAATCCTGTAAAGGCTATAAAAAGCAAACAACTTGCCGTTTTCTCGTTCGCAAAAATCGGAAATTCAGTTTGAGCCGCCATTTTGTTTTTCTCTACTAGTAGGATATGAGCTAATATCTTGCTAGTAGAGAACCAATCAGATTGCAGAATACCGCATATCCAGACCTTGTGTATATAATCAAACTGGATATTCAGATAAACTGCCTATCCTTTTCTTGATACTAAATCGGACCCCCAGACACGCGTGTGCCGCATGGTGGTCAAGATCCGCGTGTTTCTCAGGCGAGACAAATTCAAGGAGCAAGCATGTCATTTTAATAAGAAAAAAACTAAAAGTAATTTAAAGTGGACTAGTACTAGGAAGTTTTACCAAGATATATGCATCAATAGACGTTTTCACTGTAGGTGAAGAGCGATTGGATTAATGTTTGTCTCGGCTCGATTTGGAAAATAGTGCGCCACGTTTTGTGGTTGCCGCGGGTTTATATTATAACGATGAAACATCGTGCAACTAAAGGATATATTTTCTAAAGAATAAGTCATAAAAACTGATAACTTTTCTTTACGGAAGCCAATCACAAGACGTGTTCATTTTAGATTGGTTTTTAACCCCGCGTTGGGAATCGTTCCCGCGAGCTTTGGTTTGCTCACCAATGCTTCACTAACTAAGCCGCAAGGACAAGTCGTTAGAGTATAGATATCAATTTAGTGTTTTATTTCATAACCCTAATCCTAACCAGGGATGCCGGAACCACGGGTGCAGCGGGAAGGTCGCCAAAAATAATTTATAGATGCCCTTTCATTTTCATTAGTGCCCTTTTGTTAAGGAATATGCCCTCTTGTTAACCAATTGCACCCCTTGCCCCCAGCAATTTCCGGCATCCCTGATCCTAACCTATATATCCATGACCCTAATCCCAAACCCTAATTCTTGTGCTGTCAACCGTGGTTAATTACCTGTTGAAGGTCAGGAAGAATGTCGTAATAAGAACATCCTTCCGTTGTAACCAATGCTGATGGAAATTGGAATTGATTGGATGACAACAGTTGACATTGTGTATTTGGACACATTTGAAATGCCATACAGAAACAATTTTCATAGCATTGAAGGAAACATTCATCCACAGTTGTCATGGTGAAGTTACGATATTCGTATCCATAAAGTACTTTATCTTTCAAGACTTTCGTCTTGTCTATCATGTACTGAGACTGAACCAACGCGAGAAATCCAATTAACATGACAGCAGCAAGAGTGGAAATGAGAGTTGATCTGAAAGTAATGTATACAGGGAAAATAATTAACAGTTAACTATTCTACCAACTCGACTCGTACATGAGAATAACGAAAATAGCAAAAATGATAAAATATTAAATTAATCATATCATCAGTTCGGGAGAAAATGGTTCAACTCATGCGGAGAAAATGGTTCGACCCAGAGAACAACGAGTTTCATTGTTATAACCTTGCGTATTACATAACTCTTTTTTATTCCTGCTTTATACGTCGAATTTTGGTTGTGTCTAATACAATTAAGACAATAGATAATGAGGTGATAAACCTCATTAAGCTTCATTATCTATTGTTTGAATTGCATTCGACGCGACCGAAATTCGATGTATGAAACAGGCTTTACAAACATTCCTTTAATTAACTAAAATTAATTAATTAATTATTTAATTAATTAATTAATTAATTAATAATTAACAATTTATTTATGCATAAAATTTACATATGTCAAGCTTTTATGCATGCATGCACCGCGGGCCCGGGTCCCCTGTTCCTCCGTTACTCCACTGAGTGTCACTTTTTCGGGGGGACAACCTATATATGTTTTATGTAACTACAGGATGTCGCAAAAAAACAAAACTATCGCAATAACTTCAACGTATTGTTAGAATTTGATCGAATGCCTCAGCACTCTGCTGAACCCGCAAGTGCATGCATAAAAGCTTGACATATGTAAATTTTATGCATAAAGAAATTGTTAATTAATTAAAGGAATGTTTGTAAGGCCTGTTCCATACGTCGAATTTGGGTCGCGTCGAATGCAATTCAAACAATAGATAATGAAGCTTAATGAGGTTTATCACCTCATTATCTATTGTCTTAATTGATATTTGGTGCGGGGGCCCCTGTTGACTGTTGTAATTGTCAAATAAAAAAATCAGCTACCGTTGTCGATGGAGGTCTAATTCTTTAGCATTATTAATTTTGCATTTTCCCATTGATTCTTAACCTCTGCATTTTTTACCTTTTCTAATTTTCTGGGCGATAGGCCGTGGGTGATGGGGCCCCTAACTGTCGGGGGGCCTTAGTTTTGGAACTAAACCTACCCAATGAGCGCTACGCCACTGGTGACACTATATACAGGGTGTATAAAAAATGGATGAATGCTGAAACGTAGTGCGTGAAATATTGAAGAGGTGCAATTATTAGAAAAAGGAGACCTTCAGAAATTGAAATAACGTTTATTAAACAAAAGATTGTCTGCTCCTGGGAACAATCTGCCATGCACACGGTACGTAGATCGCATGTTACGCACTCGTGGGCTTAGCAAGGTGCTCCAGGATTCAAAAGGCATTCAAATGTTAACAAGATGCTTGATTTCTAAAGGTCTCCTTTTTTTGTACACCCTGTACATATATCCTATTGTTATAATTTGAATGCCTATAAGCACTATGCTGAACACAAGAGTGCGTAAACACAATTGAATTGAATTTTTAATTACCAGGCGCATGAAATCCTGTGCTTAACAACTTTAGGTAAATTTCTATAGTGTCACCTTTTGGGGACACCCTCAGGGTGTCCCGAAAAACCCGCCAAACAAATGAAATAACGTTTTGTTAAAATTTGAATGCTCTAGCACTAAGCTGAACGCGAAGATGCGTACACGTAAAATATTGACAAGGGTGCATATATTAAATACTGAATTATTTAAAACAGCTTCTTAAATGAGTTTCATTATGCATAAAATTTACTTACGTTAAGGTTTGATGCATGTGTGGGTACAGCAGAGTGCTGATCGGGGCATTCAAATTCTAACAATACGTTAATTCAATAGTTTTCGTTTTTTGGGACACCCTGTACAGGGTGAGTAAAAAAACTGACTCCTTTGTTATTCAAATTAGCCGTGAAGGTATCAGGTTTTTCTTACTCGCCCTGTATATACGTAGTGCCACCTGCTTAAAACAATAAAAAATGTGCATTATAATTGTCGACAAGCTGACAACTAATGATTTAATGAATATAAATGCAATCTACAGTATATGGAACGTTAATGCTAGCGTTTTCAAGCACTCTTATTCTACTCATTAAAAGTCCAAATGGCATTTTCGCGCCTAAAAGATAAGATTACGGGATGCAATTAATTTGGCCAGCTAAGCATGAAGCCTGCAATTACCTGTAACTAGCAATTTTTCACCGCACTACTATCTATTGAGACTACCTTTCCCTCCATACAAATTTTGCATACCGCTTATGATAAACTGATTTCGTATGAAATCATGTTTCGCTTCTTGAGCTATCGCTCCCCCCTCCCCCCAACTCAATAGTGAATGCTGATCGATGATGGTTGTTTTGGTGCTGTTTACAACATTGAACTGGGGGAGAAGGGGTGATGAAGCTTGTTTTGTGGACATGCATTAATTTCGCATTCACTATATTGGCTGGAATGGCCTCAATGGACGCCCTCAGTTTGTAGCATCAGTATATAGAGAAGCTTATAGCATTACAATCTTTTTTCTATCACAGAATTTTTCTATTTAGTTCAACACTATTTTCGTTGTCGGCAGGGCTGTGCCGGCTGAGGGGATGAAGCTTTTGTAACATCCAACTATAAAGTTGGAAAGGGGGTCAAATTGTTTTGAAACAGTGTCAATTTCTGATTTTATGAAGACCAGGCTCGTTGAGATATTTGAAATGACTAAAAACCACCGAATATTATCTTTTAATTTTTCTTACTCTTTCTCGTGTAGCAACAACATTATTGATTGAAGTTCAAACAAGAAAATTCATAAATTTTACAAGCAACTATGAAATAAAAACATTAATAGTAAAATTGCATAATAAAATGGCAAAAATCAATAAAAAAATTGTGCGTAACTCGAGATTAATTTCTCATGTGCCGTTATCACGAGTAGTTTAGGCAAGACTAAAGTCATTTTATGGGAAAATTATTAACCAGGCACTAATAAAAGTTAGACTCTTTTATACACCCTGTGTGACATTAATTTTGTCTTCAATATTTAAGATATTTATACGTACCTCAAAAAGAATCCCATACTTTCTATGCAGTAGTTTGTAATGATCGTATGCAGACCGCAGCTTATTCTGTATATACTTCCAGGTTATTAATTAAAAAAATAATTGTAACCAGCTATAGTTATATATATTACGTCATGGGGTGATCAATTTTTTATGCTGCGAAAACATTCATGCACGCAAATACTGCTTCAGACTGCTCTCCAGTTAAGAGGGCCCCCTATACCTCTTCAAAATATGCTTTCACGTAATAATATTTTGCCTTTTCACGAGTCACGGATTAAGAAAATCATCGATCACGTTTCACGGCTAAGTAAAATAAGCCCTTCACGCAAAACGTATAGGGGGCCCGATCACGTTTCACGGCTAAGTAAAATAAGCCCTTCACGCTTCACGCAAAAAGTATAGGGGGCCCTCAGTTAAGCGTTTTTCATACGTGCGTGTACGCACATAAAAGTTTAAATCTTTCTAAATTTTATACAAGTACTAATTACCTCAACAAATGCGTATTAAATCACACAGAAAACTAAATTCTATCCTTTTATTGAATTAGTTATTTCATAAGTAAAATTTAAAAAGATTTAAACTTTACGTGCCTATACGCACATGAAAAACGCTTAACTGGAGAGCAGGCTTTATAATAATTTATGTATATAGAAAATACTTATAAACGAGATATACTAGGATACTTAAGGTGGTTCAATACAGTTTTCAATTACAATTCAAGTGTAGAACAATTTGATATTTTTTAACTTCGTAACTATTTTTGGATATTGTGGAGCAGATATCAGGATATATCTTCTTTCAAATTATGCTTGTTTGGGAAACACAAAGTTCGTTGCTCTAATAGCCTATTGCTTCTAATAATCTATATTTGGAAAAGAAGCACGGTGATTCCCAGTGCCCTTTCAGTTCATCATTTTACTTAGAATATATATATATATATATATATATATATATATATATATATATATATATATATATATATATATATATATATATATATATATATATATATATATTATAGACTAAAAAATAGGCAGAATATGAAACAATTCTATGCCGGATCGATTCTTTTTAAAAACGCAAAAATATCATTTTCTCAAAAAACATATCTTGGCATTACAGAACATTTTTATTTTTGGTATGACGAAAGACTTTACAATATAGACAATACAGCTAGAGTGCAACATTTTAAGATATAGATCACCGCACGAAATACTGAAATATAGCACTTTGTTTTTCAAAAACTGGATTTTAATGACGTCAGCACGTGCAACACACTATACATTTATACGCACAATGATTCAAGATGACGTGAACAACACACTATGTCACCATGGAAACGAATGATGGCGTGGGTGAAAATTTTGAAGTTTGAAGAAAATTTTTGAATGTACTCATTAAAAATTCATAAACCTTGTGGCAACTCATGTCAGCCATAATATGTCACATGGAGTGACTTTATATCTGATAAAGCATGTGGCATTATATAATTGTTCATCCTAATTAGTATGATTATATAATGGTTCATCCTAATTAGTATTCTTTTGTAGTTGTATTTTAAGCTATTCAAAACGCTCGTTGTTTTGTTTTATCAGATCCGATAAAACACTCCTATACTCGTGTTTTATAGAGTATTAGCCAAATTTGTTTATCCAGCCATGCAGGCCATTTGACCACACAAATGCCAAATGGGCTGAAACTCCTGGAATCATTTTGCCTGCGTGAGACTATATTTAGAGTTACTGTGGCAATATAGTGTTACTGGATATTTAACGAAAGATATCGAAAGAATCCAACCAAGAACTCTCAAAATAATTGATCCAAACCTTTCGTATACAATGACGCTAGGCTTTATAGCATTATTTTCCACCCTGCTCGGTTTCCTTTGTTCTTATCGGAGAATATATTCAATCAGTTCCCCTCTAATCAATTTCCGTTTAATAATCCCCTCTAATATTCACCTGCAATGTAC